CCCCAAAACCCCAAAACCCCAAAACCCCACACATAACAAAAATGACAAATTTAAGATATTATCAATATGATTAAATAAAAGCTTAAAGTAGGATCTTTAAATATTGAATAATAATTTTTAAATAACAAAGCTTTGAATGAAGTTTCATTCGTAAATTATTACATTCGTGTTATTAGTTACTTACATAATGGCTCAAGATTAAAATGATTGTAAATAACTTATTTTTAAATATGTTTGATAGGTCATTCGCCTTATTATGTAAGAGATGATAACGGTGACTGTAGATGTAAGTAATTGCTATAGATAATATTTTTATTCCTACTTTCTAATTCAGATTATCAATTAAATCAAATAGGATGTTCTGGATTATTATATGGTTGTGATAAATGTCTGTCATTTGAAGCTGGATCTCAAACCCATATTCAATGTTTACAGTGTCAAAGTGGACTTTATTTACTTACCAATAGTACTGGCGTCAATAGTCAGACATATCCAGATTCCTTATCATTTTGCGTGCCTGATTGTTAACTAGCGGGATACTAATATGTTAATGACCCTAAATTTGGAATTTGCGAAAATTGTGGAGACCACTGTGGATCATGCAATATTGATTATGGCTGCGAAATGTGCTTACCATAGAATGAGTACTAAGGATGGGTTAATACAATTAACTCAACAATCTCACAAGACTTTTATTAATGCTAGGAATGTTAAAACAGTAAATGGTGCCTTGAATGCAAATCCACAGATCTTGGAATTTGCACGCAATGTTATTCACTATTCTGAGACTATTCAATTCCTGCAAATGATGAGCCTTATAGTTGTGTTGAAAAAAAGCCACATTAGAATTCCGATAACTGCATTCAGGCAGCATCTGTAGGATCAGGAGAGTGCACAATGTGTGATGATGGCTATTTCATTAATGAGTTTAATTTTTGCTCGAAATGTAACGTGACAAATTGCTTTTCATGTGATCCAAATAACAAAAATTTATGCACCTAGTGCGAAGAGACATTCGTTCTAGATAATGGAGAGTGCAAGGATTGCAATAGCGGGAAAATTGCTAAAGCGAGTTTGAATTACTACCCACAATGTTCTAACTGTGATTCATCTGGATGCTTAGGCTGTGTTAATGGGTTCAAAGATTCAAGTGGGAATTGTGTTTCCAAGTGCCCAAAGGGATTTTATGGTTACAAAGACTTTAGCTAAAGAGGAAAAATCGCGAATTCCATTTGTGTTGAATGTCATGAACAATGTCTTGAATGTATGCAATGATACGATGATAGTTGCACCAGATGTAAAGCAGGCTTTTATTTAAGTAAGACTAGAAGATAAGTTTCTTTTGGAAGTTGTGTAGCTAAATCTACTTTGACTCTCTCAATTGATATATTCGTTCAACCACCACCAAACATTGATTTTGATGCTACAGTCTAAACGGGTGAAAGAGATAATCCGTTTATGGACATTTAGGATGCCATAACAAGCATGTATGAGCGATGTGCAGATGTTATTGATACATGCACAGTTACGATTAATCTGATGAAAGGAACTCATTGGATTTTAAGATCAACTAGAAAATTCTATAGGCCAATATCTATAGACTCTCACTCTCAGAATATCAAACTTACAATTACTCCACTCTATTGTAATGGAGACCCAGATTGTTATGAAGATGATACTGCTTAGGTTATCATAAAGAATAAAGTTAGAGATAGACTGAATATACCAGTAGGCCAAGGATTAACTATTAAAAATGTTATCATTGATAGTTTAGATTCCATGATAGGTAAATACTTGCTATTATTATTCATCTTTAGATCTTGATGTCCAAGCACCTTGTCTGAAGTTGCTAGAAGATTGCTGCCAAATAGACCCCATAACTTTAAAAATTCAAGATGTCAATACTTCAACCAGCTATTGTTCTAATGAACACATTATGATGTGAGATTACAATCACTTATGTATCTATTTTTAGAACTGAAGAATGCAATATTGCAAATGGAGGATCTCTGATAAAATTCGATATTTCATAGGAGACAGTTCTAACCAGAGTTCTGGATCGACCACCAACACTATTAATTGATGTAAGCTTTAGAATCTCAACTTTATCTACTTCAATAGGGGTGCCAATTTAAGAACTTTATCTTTGATTTCAATACTTTGATAGAAACTAATTCCTATGGTGGGCATATCATCATTTAAAACTCAAAATTTGAAAGATTCTCTACTTGTGGCGCTGTTTTAAGAAATTTCAGGAAATTCTATTAAGTCAACGAGACAATGTCTTTTTCGATTCTCTATAATTATAAAATTCGTTAAAACAGTTACTAGAAGCAAATTTTTGACAGATTATTTGAAGAAGACAGAGCTTTTGTAGGCCATTGCTTGACGGATTGTGAAAGTTTGACAATTTCCAAAACTAATTTTACCAAATTTGGAATTGACATTGTAGCTAATATTGATGTAAATGGTGAATAAATTGAAACTACAACACTGATAAATCCTGCTTTTGGAATGCACCGATAAGGAAAAATATTGCATTTAGATAACTTCAATGGGCCTACAAATATAAGTGAGAATATATTTGAATACAATATACTTGGATATTAAAGCGGATGCAATATTCTAGAAAATGAAAAAAGCTTCAAATACGATAAGGATGAAGACCCTGATATCATTTTTTAAGAGGAATATCCAGCAAATGATGCATACAATAGCAGCTTTGCCCAATTGAAGCATTTGATAAGTATTTAAAATTAGCTTGGGAGTATCTAAATTAGAAAAAATACATTCCAAGGAAATTCTGTCATTAAAGGAATAATAAACATAGACGGTACAAAGAATCCTGAAAAAATTGATCCAGAGGTTCAAGATATTTTGATTGAGGAAAATGTCTTTAATTAGAACTTTGCATATCTATCTACCATTGCCATTCATATCAGAAGATACTTCAAAAGTTTTGATAATTATACTCTCAATGATGGATATCTTCCATGCGGAGGGGTACTTATTAATTCTAATAATTTCTCTAATAATTTTGGATGTCCACTTTACGGTGGAAGTTTGATTTAGATGTCTTGCCAAGCCTAAGAAACTCTAGATTAATTTGATTAACCAAAGCCTTTGGAAATAACTCAAAATAAATTTAGTCATGATGAAATAATGAACCTTAAGGACATAGTTTCTTAAGATTTTGGGTCACCAAATAAAAATTAGTTTACGCTTAGCAACAACAATTACTTTAAGAATTATGGAGGCTATAATGAGGGTATGATTGATATTAGAGGTATGCTTTGGATTTAACTTAAAAATGAAAGCTATATTTAAAATGGTGAGAATGTGTAAGAATCTACTATTGCCTTGTAGAAATTTAAAACATCAGATAACTATATTGCGTACCTTTATAAGAATCAAACTGAAAATACAGATTCAAGGATGAGATTAAGCAAATTCTTCTAACCATCTTGGCTTCCATCTGAAGTTAGTAATTCTGATAAATAGCTTTTGGGGTTGATATACATTAGATATAGTCTTTATTTGTTTATCAGTTAATCCACAGTTTAAGATAATTTTATCTACGAATAAAACCTCAATGCAACAAAGGGGGCATTTATCACTATTGAAAGGTTCTTTGGCTTTGTTCATTTTATTGATGTTGATGTCTCTAGCTTTGCAGGTATGCTGAATAGCATCTATGCAAGAACTGATTTAAATCTCTAAAGGAGTTATTACTTGACAAATGATATTCCAGTGTTTGCCTAAACCAATACCATTATTGGATTTGATTAGAAATCTGATCTAAAAGGAATAATCATCATTGATAAGCTATAGTATTAAAAGGCTCCTAATGCAGGCTTGATAATTTCTACAAAGTAAGTTTGAATAATGGATTAACTAGTTTTAGTGGAATAAGCATGACAGATTTTGTGATGATGAATGTAATAATAAAAAACATAGAATTCGAGAGTAATTACAATCACTCATTATTCTAAATAACTACAAGAAATGCAACAATTAAAAATCTTAAAGTCTTAAATATAAATTAAGCCTAAAGAATTTTGGATACAGATCTAATGATCTATTAAGATGATGATGCTCCTTAAATTTTCCAATTACAGCTTATAGATTCGATAGGAGAACAAGTAATTATTCAAGATTCCATATTTGAAAATGTCTATGGTAATAGTGGTTCTGTTTTCAATTTAAGTATGTCACCAGTCTTTACTTTAGATGCTAAAACGGTACAAAACTGTTCATTCAAAAATATTATATCTAGAGCAGGAGGAGTTTTTCATATTGCAAAAGGCAATATGGGTGTTTTGTAATTCTTAAATTGCAATTTCATAAATACTGAATCTTACACTAAAGGTGGAATAGTTTCAGTAAATCCAAGTTGGAATAGTCAAAAATTAACAGAAGATGGAGGATTAACAACTTTGGCAATTCACAACTGTAAATTCGAATATAATTTTGGTGTTAACGAATAGCTTGAAGATTTTCATTATTATCCTTATAGAAGTATTTATTGGAGTAGATCAGGTTATATTGCTTTTATTAACCAAATTTCTCCTATTAACCTTGAAATTTCAAACAATATTGTCACTTAATTTTACAAATCTCACTATTATGATATTTATGAAAATAATTAGTTCATATAAGCTAAGTATAATGAGATTAGTGTAAAATAATCAGATTAAAAAAGTTATGGAACAGCAATTGTTATAATATCAATGGTTGGCATTTAAATAAATTCTAATAATAATTTGTTTATTGGATGTAGATATGGCTATTTAGGAGGAATCTACCATTTAAGTTCTGCTGCTGTTTATTTTAATGATATGTATTCAGCTTACATAAATTCATTTGCTTTTTACGGAGGAATGCTCTATTGTGAGGGATGCTAATAAATATCTATTGAAAATACTACTTATGACAATCTGTAAGGTTAGTAAGGAGGGGCTATATACTCAGTTACTAAGAAATCTATGACCTATCGTTAATAGATTATTTTAACAAAATTATCTGTCTCAAATGTCTTGTCGTTAGACAGTGGAGGTTTCGCATTTATTTATGGAAATAGGACAGCAGTTAAACTGTCAATTACTGATTCAAGCTTTACAAGTGTTAATTCTTCTTAGAATATTAATGATACTTTGAAAATAGCTAAACTAATTGATTCACTTTATGATGGAGGGGGGGTAATTTTTATTCAAGGACCTGATTTAGAAATAGAATTAGGAAACAATGTTTTTAAAAAGATTTCAACAATTAAGAGTGGAGGTCTCCTTTTTGCATAAAGTACAAATGAGCTGATTTTAACATTCCAAAACTAGAATATTGTGAATGCTTTTGCAACCGAATAGGGAGCTGTCATGTATGCTGAATCATTGCAGCAAGTTTTAACAGCTACTTTTGAGGATAATGTCGTATTATGTAAAGAAGAAGTAAATTCAGATTAAATTAAATCCTTCCTGGCAGATTAAAAGAGACCAGGATCTGAGAGCTATCATGCATTTCAATTTATTACATTCTTAGACTCTACCCTGACTTCAAAAAGAAATAAAATTTCTAATTGTGGAATAACTAATTATTCATCTGAAGGTACATAATACATTGGGAGCGGAGGAGTCTATAATTTAGATGGGAAAAAGGGATTTTTAACATTCGAAGATTCTTTTAGCAATTACTCTAATAATTCAGCATATTATGGAGGAGTATATTAATGTGGATAGTGCGCTCTAAATTTAAATTCTAACCTATATGTGGACAACTTTTGTTATTTTGGTTGTGTTATCAGTGCTGGAGCAGATTATAAGAATATTAAAATAAATAATAGCTAATTCATAGATAATTAAGCTATATATACAGGAGGAGTCCTATATCAATATGATCTTTCATATCTGTCAGAGTACTTAATTGTTTAAAACTGTTAATTTCTTACAAATATGACGAAATATTGGGAAGTATGGAGAAAAAGATATTTATATTAGAGTAATTAAGTTTTAATTGAGGATTTAGGTGGGCTATTGTTTACTGTTATATCAAGCTATGAATTCAGTTTTCTAAGTAATTAAGTCAAATTCTATGATATTTATGTGGATGTTGATTAATAAAATTACAATGATAATGATAAATTAACTAACGATAATATTTATCAACTAATGTATGTAAAACAAATTAACACAGTCATAATCAAAGATAATACTATAAATGGATACCTTGACTTGGGTGTTTTGAAATACTTGAAAGATTATAAAAAAGAGTTCAGGACAATTCTATTTAATGAAAGCATAGTTTATAAATTTTAAGGACTTATTTCTGTTGAAGATACGAAAATAACTACTTTAAAAAGTAATGTTATCCAGAATATATCTATAAATAACTATGGAGTTGTTAAAATTTCTAATTGCAAAAGTTTTTCAGATGAAAATTCAATTTACGAAAACAATACTGCATTGAATGGAGCTGGAATGACTTTAAAACAAGTCAATGGGAATATGACTTCAAACCATTTTATAGGAAATAGTGCTTAATATGGAGGTTCAATTCAAATTCTAGATTTTACAGTCATTTATATGTCGGATTTAAAATTCCAGTATAGCTATTCTTCAAATGAAGCTGGGTGCATACTAATCAAAAAGCTAAATCCCTCAATTTAATCTGGGACATTGATAAGTCTTTGGTATAGTGAATTTTCTGATAGTTATGCTGAGAAAGAAGGCGGAGTCTTTAGGTTAGAAGATAAAAATTTAGAATTAGATTTTCAAATGAACACTGTCTATAGAAGTGGTACAAGCCAAAGTTTCCTAGTGGGTTCAGGTGGTGTAATTTTTGGGGCTCAATATAAGCAGCTTTCCATCATAAATAACGTAATTAAGTCTTCAAAAGCTTACGAAGGTATCTTTATAACTTCTACTTCAAAATCCTCATAAATAAACATGGAAAACAATCTATTTTACTGTCAAGAATATTCAAAGGCAAAATCAAAGATATATTTGAATCTTAACGGTGGAATTTCAAAGTATAAAAGCGCTTTTTCTTTTCAAAACCTCAATACTTCTTATTCTACAAAGAACTAGTTTAAATACTGCTATGATTCATATTCTGGAGGAGCTATCAGTCTATTCAACAGTCAACTTTAAGATGAGGGGTCAACTTTCTAAAGTAAATTGCCTTTATTTAATTTTCATATTGAATATAGTGAATAGCGCTATTTTCGGTGGGGCTGTTTAAGTTTCTCTATCAAATTTGACGCTTAATGGAACATAATTTATTGAGAACTACGGCTAAGATGGTGGAGCAATATCAATCGACAATCTTGGTTATTTGAATGTAATTTTTTTAATTAATCAAATTAGTGTATCAATTGCTTATTCAGTAAAAATTAAGCTGTAAAAAAGGGGGGAGTTATAAATCTTGTTACAAAATCATACTTTATCATCAGCAATTCAATATTCAGAGGAAATTAAGCAGTTGAAAACTCTGCTATTAATGTCCTAGAATCTAGTGAAGTAAGAAGTTTATTTTCATTTCTTTATCTAGACTAATCCTTTGATTATTGAAAATTGTCAATTTTTAAGCAATGAAGCAGATAAAAACACAATCCAATTCATGTATGGCCATTTCACTTTCATTAGTCAATGCACGTTCTATAAGAATATAGCAGTAGAGAATTCAAAGAATATTTTTATTGGATTCACTAATCTTACTATTGAAAATTCAACATTCACTGATGATACTATGTATTTTCTATAAAATATTAAACATTATTTTAGGACTTACACAAGATAGGTATAAACTGCTTTGAAATATAATTGCAGGGGGGGTTTTATTCACGCTATTATGAGTAGTAATCTAACTGTCATAAATTCAATATTTTAATATGGCTATACTCTTTATGGTGGATCTATGTATGTATCGGGAGGTAAATAATAGGGTTAACAATTTTATTAGATTCCATGGCTAGTATCAGCAAATGTAAATTCTACTAAAGCTTTGCATACTACTCTGGAGGGGCTATATATGCCTCGAGTTTCAAAAAACTCACAATTTCTGATTCTTATTTCTATTAGAATGTAGCACTTTAGTAAGGAGGAGATCTTTATGCTTAGGATTCTGCTTAATTTGTAACATTCAATAACTCGCTACTTGAAAATTTCAAATCAGCAGGATCAATTTATCTATAAGAATCAGATTATAGGATCAATGAAAGTTGATAAAATTCCTTAAGCAGGAGGTTCAATATTTTGTGTTGACTGTGGAAATTTCTATATAACTAATGTAACTATGAATAATTCAATAGCTCAATCAGGGGGAGCATTATTTCTTTAACTAACTGAATAGAGAAAAGAAAAATATTCATTAAAAAATGAGTACACTGTTAAAGTATGCAATTTTAATTCAAAACTTATTTTAGATTATATCATCAACTTTTTCTAATTCATATTCCTAATCTGCTGGTGGAGCTGTTTATCTCAATAATCAGTTTAGAGTTTTGTTCCAAGCTAATACTTTAAATTCTAATTATGCAAGAACATAAGGAGGTGGCCTCTATATGGACTGTCTTACTCCATTTGATTGCAAGTATAACATGCTGGATACAAACAAATTCTGGAATAACTTTGCTAATAGCTCTGGAGGTGGAATTTATTGGAGCGATGTCCAGCCTACTTTAGTATCTGGCTCTAGCTATGAATTCAAAGAAAATAAAGCCTTAATTTATGCAGATGATATTGGCAGCTATCCATAGAAACTAGTATCATTGACATAAGAATAATATTAAGCTCAATTACTTAGATCAAGTGGAAATTAAAAACTAGATAGTACTAGAAGATTAAGAGATCTTTAGGTATCAAATAGTCCAACATCATCATCATAAGACTCTCAAAGAAGTGGAGATGCATTACCAACTATGTATATTGGATTAGCAGATGCTATGGGATAAATAGTTGGAACGGAAAGTAGTAAAAAACTTGATGTATCTTTGAAGGGTACTTTAAGTAACGGATCCAATTCAATGAAGTATTCAGCAACAATTGCTGGTACTACAACATTCTACTCAATAAATGGAGTTTATGCATTAAAGGATATCGTCTTTACTGGAGCCCCTGGAGAGAATTATCAACTATCATTCAATTCTGATGGTATTGATCCAGATAAGCCTGCAAACAAAGATTCACTAAATCAAAGTGCTTAAAATTCAACAGCAGCAGTTCCTGAATTCGATCTCAAAATAGGGCTTAGAGAATGTTAAGTAGGTGAAAAGTTTACTGATGCTGGGGCTTGTGATCAATGCCCAATTGAAAAATCTTATTCCTTAGTCAAAATGACTGAACCAGGGCAATGTAAAACTTGCCCGACTGGCAAAGCTGTTTGCAATGGTGGATCTGATATTGGGCCTCAGCCTGGCTATTGGAGAAAAAATAATGTAACATCAACTTTTATCAAGTGCTTTAACTTCGGAGCTTGTTTGTAAATAATCTTCCATTTATCATATTATTAGAGGTTTGGTTTCCCCTTAAAATGATCCAAAGGGTTCATGCTATACTGGCTACGATGGCATTTTATGCACAGATTGTGATCCAGGCTACTCTGTAACAGGCTCATTTTAGTGCGGAAAATGCCCAGAATATGCATAAAATGTTTTTAGAATAGTAGCCATACTAATAGTAGGAGTAGTAGTTATTGTTTTTATGATTCGCTCAACTCTATAAGGTGCAGCAGATGTGAAGAATATCACAAGTGTTTTCTAAAAAATCCTGCTAAACCATATCTAGTTGATTGTGCTTACTGCTTCATTTGACTTTAGCTGGCCCTAGATGGTAGTGAACTACTTCAAGACAAGTGAAACCGTAGGTGAGGCTTCTAATCAAATATTTTCCATTGATTGCTTTTTAAATGAAGATAAGGGTTATGGCTTAAATGACGAATCTTCGAAAAATGGTTAGAGCGCATAAAAGTTCGGAATCAGGATATTTTACATCAAACTTGCTATGTTTGGAATGCTTCCATTCCTATTGATGCTCATTTCTTCTTTATTCTGGTTTTTATTATACCACAAGTCAAGTGACAAAGAAATTCGACTTACAAAGTCTATATCCTCAGTAGTAATATTGCTCTTTTTAGTACATCCTAATATCGTGAAATAAGTTTTCAACTCATTTAAGTAAGATTCTTTTAAATTAACATGATAGTTGCGTTGATATTGACGGAGACTCAAGAGTTAAAAATGATTTGGAAATATTATGTTACACTGGTGAGCATAATATCTGGTCTATGGCTGTAGGACTACCAAGCTTAATTGTTTGGGGACTTGGAATTCCTTTATTTGCATATATTTTATTGCTAAGAGAACATAAATCACTTGATACTCTAATGACTCGTTAAAAATATGGGTTTTTGTACAGAGGATTTAAGAGAAGATTTTACTATTGGGAGATAGTTATTACTTACAGAAAGATTTTCCTAATTTTTATTTAAGTATTTCTTGTCTAGCAAGGAGTAATAACATAGGTAAGTAAATAGTCCTAATGATCATTTTAGGCGATGATGGTGCTTTTGATGCTAATATTTTTCATGTCAATAAATATTACAAAGTAGCCTTTTCAAACTAAGACTCTGAATGAGCTTGAAACTTTATCTCTAATTACATCACTATTAAGTATCTTTTGTGGGGTATTTTTCATAGTATCAGTTGATTCAACTGATATCGAGAGTGGTCAATCAACTTCAGACTCCTAAGGTAAATTAATCCATAAATTGTAAATCTAATTTAGTTTTTCTTAGTGAAGAAACTAAGATACTTCTATTTCTAGTAATCTTATTAAGCAATATTTTTTTCTTCACCTTTTGGGGTATAAAAATGTTGATAGAAATTCACACAATGCTTGTTAAAAAGTTTCCTAAAATATACATAATCCTCTGTCTTTGCAATAATAGAAACAAGTATGAAATGCAATTAGAGGCTGCAAGTGTTAAAGAGGAAAATGAGATTCTGAGAGAGAAATATCAAGATTAAATGAAATAACTATCTGAAATGTGTGATACTGGTGAGATACTATTAAACAAAAGAAATCTAGAGAAATTACTTAGCCATCTTAGCAAAGACTCTCTATTGAAAATGATAAGAAGAAATAAAGATTCCATTGACTAGTCAAATATCTCCTAATAAGCATAAAGGATATAAAGGATAAAGAGAACTACTCAGTCCTAAATTGAAGATTCTAGAATTTTGACTCAATCCGTAAAATAAGTGGGTTTAAGGAAAAAAAGTAATAATAAAAAATGTGATTATAAGCAATTGCAAATTACTTCAAAAGAATTCGCTGAGAAGCAAACTGACTGCTAAAGTATAACATAAAAGCATGTAAAAGATAAAAAGAAAAAAAGCATTCTTAAAAATTCCCCAAAAAGAATCTTAACTCAAGTAGACACTGAGAAATCGATAATCTTATTTAATTAACTTAGCAATTCAAGGTTTAATACTGAAAGTCAGAGAGATGATGAAAATATTGTACTAACAGATTCAGGATTAATGGCAGAAGGAGAGGAAGGTATAAATCATGATTTTGGAAATAAATCGAATCATTAGCCTTTGTATAACCAAAATTAGGAAGATATAATTTATTCTCAAATGGAAAATGAAATTGCAGGATCCGAGTATATTCCTGTTAAAGCAAAGATTACAAAGAAAAAAACTGGAAGTTAAGTTTAGATAAAAAAAGAAAATTAGATTGATTAGTTTATATAAAAACGAAAGACCTAACTTGCACATCAAGATAATCTATAAGTAGTGTAAAAATCAAAGTAACGAGGTCCTTAAAAAAAGAAATTCAAATTTTTAGCTGAATCTCCTAGGGAGGATAATTAATACAAGAAACTAAGAGATGAGCAATTGAAATCTATTGATAGGGAAATCAATTTGAAAGATGAGCATTTTCTAACTAAAGAAGTAGATGAGAATCCTCTGAAGGAAAAAAATTATGAAGTGCATCCAGGAAAAGCAAATAAATCATTTCTGAGCAACTCAGATGAATGGGAATGCAATTAATAAGCCAAAAACTCATCAGTTGAAATTTAATCTAGAAACACTTAATCAGATTTAATAATAAATAGAAATAACTAGAATAAAACATGAATAATCAGATAACTATAAATCTCTGAACTTTAAAAATGAAATAATTTAATCTTAATTTCATTATTTCATAATCATGAAATATTATTAGCAACGGGGTTTTGGGGTTTTGGGGTTTTGGGGTTTTGGGG